AGATACACAATAAAGACAAATTCAGACAGAAAAAAAAACCCTCTAAATGGGTTACAGTATGTATAAAAATGTACACAGGCTTGGGAGAGAGGAGATAAAGGATCTAGATAGTCATAAAAATAAAATAAAGTGTAGCACGACTCCTAAAAGGTCTTATTAATAAAACCAAACCCAGGGCCAGGTATTGGGGTGAATGCTGGGAAGATGAGAGAAGCAGAACAAGCCACAGACACCTGACCTCACCAGTTCCTCAGCTGATCCGGTTTCCTCAGACTGGAAGCCTCTGTGCCCTCATCCGAATGGATCTCAGCTGAACTGTTGCTCAAAAGCCTAAAAGCTTAACCAGGCTCTATTTCCTTGTCCTCACACCTTAAATACTTTTCTGCTTCCTGCCATCACTTCCTGGGATTAAAGGCGTGAGTCACCATGCCTAGCTGTTTCCAGTGTGGCTTTGAACTCACAGAGATCCAGACGGTAATGGGCATTGAAGAAACCCATTAAGGAGTTTGCTTTCAATATGGCAAAAGCTAGCCATCTGGGCAAGAAACTGCTCTTGCCTGGACTGCTTGACAATATGATTTATAAACTGGACATGCAGGACATGTAGGAAAATTGACACCGAACTCTGCCACAACAAGGTGGGATGGTCCTTCAGGTTCCTGCTTCACAAAAGAAACTGCCAGACATTCTGCAGGGCACAGAGGAGAGTGACTAACGAACTTTGCCAAAATTGGCAGGATTTCAAATTTCCTGCTTCACTGAAAAGTCTGCCAGATACTCTAGTGTAGTGGGTATTTGCTCTACTCATGACCTGAGGCTATCTATCTGGCCTGATAGAGGGAGTGCATCTTGTCTGCCCATGTGACCCCTTAAAAGTGAAGGGGGAGGGGATCACGAGCTCTCTTGAATGTGGAAAGCTTCCTGATGCATAGTTCAGAGAACTGGTCTGGAGTTTTCCTCATCTTTACCTGGGAGATGAAAAGATAGTGGCGCCGCTTCATTTTGTATTCATGATTGTGTGATCCCCATTTCATTACTTAATAAATGAGTCTTCTTCCCAGACATTATTCTAGACCTATAGGCTGAAAATGGATGCCCCAACATTACAAAAGAACTTTGGGTGACTCTCCAGGCAGCCAGATCTCTTGTTATTTCTAGAGTTTTAGAAGTTGCTTACAATTCACTTCCTGTTTATTCAGGTAATAATACATCCTTCTGGGATCTTTGATGGAGTTAAAGATTAGATAGTTATAATTTTCCTTAGTTATGATAAAAGGTAAACGAGACATAAAACTTTAGATTCACTAAGATAAGATAGAGGAATGTCTTCTCTAATTTTGTCAAAAACAAATAATTATTGTAACTATAATTCTTGCTTGATAACTGTTTTGTTAATGCAATTTTACTTTAAAACCTTCCTTTTTGATTAGACAGAAAAGGGGAAATGCTGTGGTATATCTTTCTGTAGACTATGAATATGTTTTATTACCATTGGTTAATAAAGAAGCTGCTTTGGCCTATAGCAAGGCAGGATACAGCCAGGTGGGAAATCCAAGCAGAGATACAGGGAGAAGAGAGAGGAGTTGGGGAGACACCAGCGAGCTACCCAAGAAGCACTGGTAAGCCACCAGCTACATGGAGATACATAGATTAATAGAAATGGGTTAATTTAAGATGTAAGAGCTAAAAAAAACCCAAACAAACAAAAAACCCCACAACAACAACAATAAAAGAGCTAGCTAGTAGTAAGCCTGAGCAATAGGCCAAATAGTTTGTAATTAACTAAGCTTCTGAGTGATTATTTTACAAGCTGCTGTGGGACCGCGGGACAGAGAAAAGGCTCTGGAGAACAACCTGTGGAGCAGGCTCTCTCCCTCCACCATGTAGATCCCAGGCACTGAGCTCAGGTACAGGCCAGTGGCCAATGCCTTTACTAAGCCATCTTGCCAGCCTGTGGGCTCATATTTTAGGCCGTCTCTTCACAATGATGAGTATTTCTCTTGCTGTGTAGAAGCTTTCTAATTTAATGTCGAACCATGTCAACTCTGGGATTTCTGGGCTGCTAGAGTCCTTTCAGAACATCCTTCTCTGTGCCTAGCTTAAGTATTTCCACTAGTTTTCTACCAGTGTTTCAAACTTGTAGTCCCTTATGTTGATGTCTCTGACCCAGGTTGAATTGATTTTTGTGTAGGATGAAAGACAGGAATCTAGTTTCTCTATCTACAGGTAGAAATCCAGTTTTCCATTTGTTGGAGACGTTGTCTTTTTCTCTAGTACATGTTTTTGACACCCTTTTCAAAGATTAGGTGGCTAGTGTAGCTGCGTCATTGGTTTATGTATCTTTTTTCCCCACTAGTACCTTATAGTTTGTTACTATGGCTCACGATATGGATTCACAACATGCCCCCATGGTTGGGCATGGCCGCCCATGCCCGGCAGGACCTAGTCACTTCCAGGTCAAAATGTCTCGCATGGCCAGGACCCCATGTCTTTGCATGGTTGTGTAAAGCACGGGGAGCAACCATGTGATCTATGCACATGCATGGAATAGCCACATGGGCCTGTGTGTGCAGGTGCTGCACACACGTGTCTTTCTGCAAGCCTGTGTACATCTGCCCCTCTCCCTTATCTTATTAAACTCTTGTTAGTGGATTCTGTCGTGTTTCATGACTTTTCCTCGCAGGTTAAGAGCGCCGCAAGAACCAACAGCTCACTAATATAATCTCACAATCTGATAGGCAGGCTCCAATATTATTCTTTCTGCTTAGGATTGCTTTGGCAATTTGGAACTTTTTATGCTTCTATGTCAATTTTCATTATTTTTTAATAGTTCTGTGAATAATGTTACTGGAATTTTGATTAGGCTGTTGACTACAGCGACCACTTGGTAACTGGCTCATCTTTTTTTTTTTTTTTTTTGGTCAGAGCTGAGGACCGAACCCAGGGCCTTGCGCTTGTTAGGCAAGTGCTCTACCACTGAGCTAAATCCCCAACAACTGGCTCATCTTTATGATTCTACACATCTAGTTGGCATGGCAGGGCTTCCTCGATAATGTCTTCTTCAGTGTCCTCAAAAACTCAATGTCTTCTATTCAGAGGTCTTTACTTCCTTGGGTGGGTCGTTATGGATCTGTTTTATGATAAATACGGTTTTTCCCGTTATTTCTTTCTTAGGAAGTTTGCTATTATATATAGAGAAATAAACAATATTTCTGTATGTTGGTTTTATATTCTGCTATTTTGCTGAAGTGTATATTAGGTCTCAGGGTTTTCTTACTGAGTCTTTAGAATCTTTTAAATATAGGATTATGTCATCTAAACACAGGCATACTTTCTCTTTTCTATTGGTGAAATTATTAAGACCACTCCACGTAGTTAAAAGGGAGATTTATTTAGTGGGTAACTTACAAATGAAGGCATAGGTAGGTGGCAGGTTCTGGAAAGTCTGGTGGTGTTCTCTGGAGAACTCTCCTTGGTTTACCTCTAGCATCCAGGTCCAGGAAACAAGAGAGGCAGCGCATGCCGATCTGGGGTCTTCAGGGCCCTCCCTTGGCCCCGCCTTGTAGGCGTGATAGTTCCTGAAGCCTCAATGGGGGTTGGAACTTCCAGACCAAAGCTGGAATGGCTACCCACTACACTTTTCCCTTTATTACTTGTGTCCCTTTACTTCTTTCTCTTGGCTTGCAGTCCTAGTTAAAACTTTGAGTACTGTACTGATGAAGAGCAGAGAATGGGCGCCCTTGTCTTGCTCCTCATTTAGAGGAGATGCTTTCAGTTGTTTTCATTTAGTATAATGCTGACTAAAGATCTGTCATGTATAGCCTTTATTATGTTGAGATATATTCCTTTGATTCCTACTTTCTTCATTAAGGGATTCTAAGCTTTATCTAAGGCCTTTTTGCATCTGAGTTGATCATGTGGTTTATGTCCAAAAGTTTATCTCTATGCTGTATTACATTTATTGATTTGAACGCCTAGGTTGAAACCCACAAGGTTATATGACTTTCATTTTATGAAGTGTATGGATGTTTTGCCTGCATGTGTGTCTGAGCACCATATGCATGTAGAGGTCAGAAGGTGGGGACCTGCTGGAAACGGAATCACAGACATTTGTGAGCTGCCCTGTTGCTGCAAGCCGCAGGAAAGCCTATGGAGTCCAGCGACTATCACAAAAGCTACTGCTTGGAAAGGACTTTTCTGAAGGTCAAGCCATGGCTTAAGAAGTCTTGGTGATATTCTAGCTTTTGTATATATACTAGCCGGTTCCTACAATAATTTTCTTGTATGCTATGTATGCTTCCAAGAACTTCCATACCTAGTATCCTAGGCATAGCTTTGTTTCTTGTGCAAATGAAGCTCAGACCCTTCTTTCTCTCACAGCCCAAATGGCATTCCAGAGCAACTGACTCAACAAAAAGAGGTTTTTGCATACCAGGTGCAAAGTAGTTCTGAGACAGGTTTCCTAGCTCTGAGCAAAGTTACCCCTCCCTGCCAATATATGGCAGTACAGGAAAATAGAGGCAGTTTTATTTTAGTGACTTATAGACTCTTTTACCTAACCACCTGTAAGATTGTGTTTGAGCACATTAATGATAGATTCGTAATGTTTCACCTAACCACTTACAAGAATATATTTTGAGTACAAAAATTCCCTTTCTGACTTATTTGACCCCACCTCCTCTACTCACTCCCCCTTTGGATTGTAAATGAAGTTGGCTATCACAGCTCTTGTAGGGACCTTGGAGGCTTTGCTTTATATTCTAAGAGTCAGACTGATGATAAGGGAGAGACAGGTTCCAGGGGAGAGGGAGGAAGGAACCAAGATGGAGAGGAATGAGGTTGAAGATGAAAAAGTTATGAGAAGACAGGAGAACAGGGGACAGAGAGGAGCTAAATATAAGAATAGCATTAAAGCTATGTATATAGAATTTAATTTCAGAGGAATAAAATAGACGGACAAAAGAGCATGGTGTACTTAGATTATTTTCCCGCAGATTACCCCTGCCATTAGTAGCGTCTCTTCTAGGCCCCTGGGAGGGAAATTAAAGAGACTGGACCTCAATAATTTCTGAAACCATGTAGGTGCTGGGAATCGAACCCAAGTCTTCTGTAAGAACAGTGCTCTTAACTGCTGAGTCACATCTTCAGCCTCATTATTTTTTAAATGTCTCTTAAATTCAGTTTGTTAGTATTGCATCAAGAGTTTTGGAGGATGGAGAGGTAGCTCAGTGGTTAAGGCTGTTTACTATTCTTGCAGAGGACCTAGGGCTTAATACCTATACTGACGCTTACAACCACACACACATACATAAAAATAATAAATCAAACAATAAAAAAAGAATTTTTGCATGTAGGGCCTGCAGAGATAGCTTAATTTGTAAAGTGCTTGTATTGCAAGCATGAATACCTGAGTTCTATCTCCAGAAACTATTTAAAATATCTGGGCATGAAGACATGCACTTGTAATCCTAGCATCTAGAGAGAAGTTTGCTGATCTCTAGAAGCTGCTGGCTAGCCAGCCTAATAAGCAAGCCCCAGCCAGTGAGAGATATTATTTCAAAACAAAAACCTGAAGATGAACGGCACCCGAGGAATGAATGACACCCAAGGTTATTCTCTGCCACCCCAACACATGCACATGCACACACATACGCAAGTGCACACCCCCATACATGCACACACGTACACCCACACAAAAGTGCACACGCATATAGTTTTGTTTATCAAGGAGTTTGGAGTTTGGCTACAGTTCTTGTTTTTTTGTTTGTATTTACTGTGTTCTGTTTTCAGGATAATGCTGTTTACTCCGTGAAATGAGTTCAGTAATGTGCCTTCCTTTTCTAATTTGTGGGATAGTGTGACTAGCATAGGTAGAAGCTCTTCCCATCAGGTTTGTTAGTATTTGACAGTGAACTCATCTGGTCCTGGGTTGTTTTTTTTTTTTGTTGTTGGAAGCCTTTTTGTTTCTTCTTTTTTATAAATTAAAAAAAATTTATTCATATTTTATGTATGAGTGGTCTGCATGTATCCCTGCACACCAGAAGAGGACAGCAGATCACATTGTAGATGGCTGTGAGCCACCATGTGGTTACTGGGAATTGAACTCAGGACCTCTGGAAGAGCAGCCAGTGCTCTAAACCGCTGAGCCATCTCTCCAGTCCCATGTTTCTTTTTTAATTCATTGACTACTAACTATGGGTCTTTTTGAGTTATTATATCTACTTTGTTTAGTTTTAGCAGGTCATGTCTCTAGAATTCATCCATGTCTAGATTCTCTAGTCCTTGGGATGTCAGTCCTCAGAGTGTTCCCCGATGTTCTGTGCATCTCACTGGAGTCTAAAGTAAACTTCCCTTTTCACTTTCAATTTTATAAACCATGGGTCTTTTCTTTCTTTTGGTTACTTTAGCCAGGGGTTCACTTTTTCAAAGACCCAACTCTTTGTTTGATTGATTTTTTTGTTACTCTTAGTGTCTATTTCATAAATTTTTGCTCTGATCTTTCTTTTTTTGGTTTTGGTTTTGGTTTTTTGAAACAGAATTTCTCTGTGTTGCCCTGGCTATCCTGGAACTTACTCTGTAGACCAGGCTGGCCTCTGCCTCCCAAGTGCTGGGATTAAAGTCGTGCACCCACCACTGCCCAGTTCTGCTCTGATCTTGATTGCTGTTTCTCATCTGCTTTTGGCTTTGGATGGCTCTTGTTTTTCTAAGACCCTGAAGGATACTGCTGGCTTATTTATGTGGGATTTTTCTGATTTTTAATGTAGGCACTAGAGCTATAAACTTCCTGACAGAGCTACTTTAGCTAAAGCCAAAGGTTCTGGTAAACTGTGCTTTCATTTTCATTCGATTCTAGTAACTTCTAAATGTCCTCCCTAATTTCTTCAATTAGCCACTGGTCATTCAACCATGTTCTGGGAGGGGACTGGCAAGATTGCTCAGTAGGCAGTGTTACTTGCTGCCAAGCCTGATGGCCTCAGGTTAATCTCTGGGACGCATATGGTGGTAGGTGAGGACCAACTCCTCCAAGTGGCCTTCTAAGCTCCACATGCATGCTGTGGCACACACATGACCACACCTACAGAAAAATGGATGTTATATAATATGTGTGTATGTTCTATTCTAAGTCACTTCATAGCGTCTAAAATAGTTTCTAGGTTGTACCTTGCCCTGACAGACTCCAATTTACAAACAGATTTTGACTCCCATTTTGAGGATAGAAGATAATTACATGCAGGGTGGACTCATAAACACCACCATCTGTCCAGTACCACCCACATTGCACAGACAGATAATGACATTATCTTAGCAGTAGAAGTGGCGCAAACCTATAAATGTATGAAGGTGAATTGAGACTGTAGGAGCATGCGGGTGCATTAAAAGTAACCAGCAAGAACTTATCAGACATGCTAGACCAAGGAGAGGGTATAACTAACTCCTTTACCTCTACCCCATAAAATGGAAAATATCTAGCATTGTCATTGCAGGGGTCCACACCCACCTGTCATTGGTAACTAGAGTATGCACCAAGGAATGACAGGCAGAGAAGTCCCAGTGGTCCCTGGGCTGTCAGCTCAGTCCTCTATTGCTGACATGGCCATCCACATGCATGTCCCTCTGGACTTAGACCTGCTGCTCCTGTTGCAGATTGGGCTCTGCTCTTTGGTCTCTGCAGCTGGCCATATCTTCAGTCTCAACTCAGACTCTTTCATGCCTGATCTCTACAGCAATGGCTTCTTCCTTGGAGGCTGGTTTGGATTTGTTATCTTATCAATATATGCATTTAATGAGATATGAGATTCAATATGCATTTCAATCCACCAACTTCTGAAAGTTCTTGTACTACTACTGTTGTTACCTTGTATTCGATCTGTAACTCACATATACATGTGGATCTATATAGATACCTTTATTGTATCCTGTGTGTGGTATGATATGAGTTATATTAGTAAGTAAGACTGGAATTAAAAGAACCAGCATCCACCTCAGCCAGACTTTTGAGGTAGGTAATTATCTGGCAAATTGCTGCCACCAAAACCGATGCAAGTAGTAAGTATATTGTTATTCAATAAATTCTCACACTATGAAAACACACAGAGTGTCCTTTATGTTTCTGGCATAGGGTACTCTTGACAGAATCCCTACATTTGGCACAATATGTATTTACAATTGTCTACATTTTCTTGATGAATCATTCCCTTTATTAACATGTGCATGGCCTTTACCTGATCAGATATAGCAGCATTTGTATGATCAATAGATCAAGGCCTTAGAAAACCCTTAATAGCCAGGTGGTGGTGGCACACACCTTTAATCCCAGAATTTGGGAGGTAGAGGCAGATGGATCTCTGTGGGTTCGAGCCCAGCCTGTCTACAGAGTGCGTTCCAAGACAGCCAGCCAGGGCTGTTACACAGAGAAATCCTGTCTCAAAAAACCAAACAAACAAATAACCAAACAATTTCTTGGTAACCCTCAATACCCCTGCAATGAAAATCAACACATAGGAGCATTCTATTTTAGTTACTGATTTGATGATGCCCCTTTCTTGAATCTGCTCCTTCTCTCTTGCTCTTTTCTTCCCTGCTCTCTTGCTAAAAGCTTCAGCATAATGCAGTTCCATCCCCTGGCTGTTTTTACTCATCTCTGAAACCTAGATAGGAAGGTTCTGGCAAAGCAGGCAGTAGACATCCCTTCAGGAGGGAAGGTGAAGTGCTGGAAGGCAGGTTCTGCATCTCTGGCCTTCCTGTGTCAGCCCACAGATCCACACTGGATCTGCAGTGACAGTGCCAAGAGGCAGAGTTCACGACTTCTGGTGCTCAGGGGTTAATGTCATACTGCAAACAGGCAGACAAGAACAGGGTCTTGACAGTTCTGACATGTGTGCCATGTGTAGAAATACAAAGCCTCTAGGGGCAGATCAGGAATGTCAGCATTTTTCTGAGGCAGCATTCTGTCCGAGTATGAAAAGGTTCTTGCTGCCCAGGGAACTCTAATGGAGATAGCAAAATGCAAATGTATGCATGAAGCTTGCTGGCTTAATTAACTAGTCCACTGATATTACCATCAGAGAGAGTGCCCAGAAGCAGATGGCAGCATGCTGTGGAAAGGGAGAGCTTGCTAAGGCTTTAGGGGTGGGAGGAGAGAGGGATCTTAACTGGAGAAAGACTTTCTGGCTGACAAGGTCCTCCTCCTTTGCAAAAGGGTCCCTGCTGCCCTCCGCTGCTCCACTGTTTCTAATTCAGGCAGTTCAGAATGAGGCCTTCTGTGGATTCCACAATATGCCTGAGTTATTGTTTGGCTTGCCTGCCCCCCACCTTGTTAGAAAATGTTCTCATGTATGTTATATTATTCTTTAGCTCTTCTGTTATTTCTAGAAGAGAAAACAATGTGAAGAATTTAACAGTAAAATTTATTGGCTTTTCTCACTAAAAAATAAAGCTGAAGCAGGAAAACTGAAAAATAAAAAACTGACCAAATTTTGATGGCTCTTCTTTTTTCTCTTCTCCACACAAACACACACGAGTGTCAGTGTTTACAGTACAACAGAGATCACAGACACACACCAGTGTTTATAGCATAGCAGATCTCTCTCTCTCTCTCTCTCTCTCTCTCTCTCTCTCTCTCTCTCTCTCTCTC